CTTTTACTCCCGATCAACAATCAAATATCTTTTCTTGAATTATGAATAAAACAAATGAATTGAAATATTTAATTAAATCATCTCAAAATAAACCTTCATTTTGGTGCAATATTGAAGTTAGCATGAATTCTTCATAACCTCTGAATAGTGGGTTACCCAATGGGTCACAGGTGGTCTAGTACTTTATTAAAAGTTAGTAGTATCATAACTTTAACAACTTTAAACAAGAACAAAGTGGTTGGTCAATTCAACCGAGTGTAAAGAGAGTTAACCATGAATCAAGGTTTTGAACTAAATAGCTTCTTACAGTTTTTGTTTTGTTTTTCAGCTTTGTACGATCTAAAAATACCAACATTTCTGCATGATTCTGGATTTCGAATATTAATCATTATAACTTTTTTGAATATAGAAGTATGAAAATTCTTAAGTGAAAATAGTAAGATGTTTATTACTCAGACAGTTATTTTACTATAAAATATCTTTTTAATGACTATTGGTTTTCTCCAGGTTCCCCAGGTAGTGTTAGCTCTGAGGAAAGTGAGCACTGTGCAGTTTCTCTTGGCTCTAGTGTCACATTCATCACACTCAATTCTGAAGGTGAGCTTGAAATCTACCATGAATTTTTTGTTTTTACAACATATAATGGTGTTATGGATATCATTAACCATTTTTCTGCATTTTCCTTTACAGTCTACTGCATGATATCTCTTTCTTTGTGTGCATTGTGTTGTGGAATCTGCATTCCAGCATTCACTGCTTTAAATCTGTAGCCAGGCCAGGAAACTCATCATTTTTAAGGCAAGACCATTTGGCCTTGGATTTTCCCTCATTTTCAAGGGCACCAAACACCCCCCCCCAAAAAAAAAATTCCCTGGAGGGCACTAAAGCCACATTATACATTAATGTTAATGGAATAGAAATGAGTTTATCAATTAGTTTAGTAAATATGGTTTGTTTGTTTTTTCACTGGAAGCTTGGAAAGCTAGCCTGTTCTTCCAGATTATGTTTATCAGGTAGGTAAGTATAAACTTTAACCAATGAGACTTATGAAGGAACAGTACATAAGTTTTAAGATAAAAAAAAGAGGTATCATGCTGATCTAAAATGCCCTGTGATCTTAAAAATATTCTTAGTTTTTGCCCTGTCCTGACCCCAAATGACATTTGATCTGAAAATCTATATAACTTTTAGGCACCTTTCTCCACTTATTAATTTGTCTAACTTTGAGAAGAATGAAATAAAATCTCTCGGAGGAGAAGCATTTTAAATGTTTTCAGGATTTGACCTCTGATGATCTTATAAATCATGAACACATTTCTGGCATCTCTATCCACTTACTCATTTATCTAAGTTTGATAATGACCAGACTTATGCATAAAGAGAACAAGTGCTTTATAAGATTTCTAGCTTTTGCCCCCTCCTCACCCCAAATGTACTTTGACCTAAGAATTGTATACAACTTTTATGCACTGCTATCTTTTTATTGCTTTGTCTAACTTTGAGAATGATCAGACAAAATTCCTGGGAGGAGGAGAAGTTTAAAGGCCTAATTTCTACCAACAAAATTCATCCCCAACAGGTCAGACTACTTGACCAAGATTGACAAAACCAGTTACGCTGTCTCCAAAGAGCAGGCCTTTGAAAATCTTCACGGACAGACAGATAAATAGTAACACACATTGGCATAACATAAGGTCAACATTCTGTTTCCAAACAATACTAATACTAGTATTTTTTGTATAATTTCTAATGTAAGCTAGTGCTGATAAACAGTAAACTAGGCTTACACTACAGTATAGCACGTGGTCATAACCTATAAATCACGTGTTGTCCCACATTGCATTGCCCAACTCACTACTTGTAATTCAGAAATGTTAACCCTAGCTAGCTAATGCAGTAGGCTTAAGCCTTTGGTAGGTTTGTGCATAAAATTTATCAAGCCGAATTATTGACGTATCCTGTTTCCCTTCATTTTCTAAACAAAAGGAAATACTCAATAGTCATGGCACTTGAAATTCTTTCAAGGATTAGAGTAAATCAATCTATGAGACCACGGGCATGGTCAAATACATCAATTGAAAGGGTTTGACTTCCTGAGTCCTAAACTGCAATTAGATCTCAAATCGGTCAAGAGATAACGGAGCTGTGAGCTAAAAGTTTGTACATGAAAAAAACTTGGTGCCATTCTATGAGCCGCTATGCCACAGCTAAAAATCAGGATCTAATTCACATATTTACTGATGAAAAAAAAAGTTCCAATTTCTGGCACTTGGCCACCACAGAAAACAGTTTCACAGCATTCTCCTTTTTGAATAGTTTATTTTTCAACATGTTTAATGCAAGGCGTATTTGCAGTCCCACACTTCACTCTGATTAGTATATGTATGTGCTGACTTTGATTGTCTTGTACTGCTGTCTTTGTGGGTCTTTGAGTAAGCTCTGTGGGTTTTATGTTTGAGCACCAATTTGAATTGCTTGCTACTACTAAGAGACTGCGGTATGGTATGACTCAACAAACTGTACAAATGTTTTACTGCTGATCAAAGTGAAAACTTCACTCCCTCCATTACAGGCAATTTGTGTGATATATTATTTGTAACAAGGTAGTTTCTGTAGGTTATAAGTCCAGTATTTGTGATCCCCAATGGTTTTCCCTTTACTGCAGTACACAATACAAATTTAGACCATGAGGGCATGACAGTCGAGGAATACCGAAGGGTGGCATCATGAATGTGGATTTTAACTATTTTCTGAGAGCACCATGGCCATTTTAAAAAATGCAACAGCAATTGCCACCCTAATCGTCATGAATTGTTTGCTCTGCCTACAGCTGTATATTGCTGTTTAGCAATGATAATATTTTTAAAAAAGGATAAATTATGCTTTCATTCATACAAAATACGACAGCAATAGCCACCCTAATCGTTGTGAATTGTTTGCTCTGCCTACAGCTGTATATTGCTGTGTAGCAATGATAAAATTTAAAAAAAGAATAAATTATGCTTTCATTCATACAAAAGGTTTTCTTTCATATAATCATAAAATATTCGAAGCAGTGAATGATCAAAAAAGTCCCAAAGATAGTTTATCCCAAATAAATTTTGAATACTGGATGCCTCTGTAGTGTGTGCTGTATGTACATATATCAAGGTAAATAAATTACATAACTGAGAACATTAGGCCTCAAAATGCCATGCAAGCAATTTTTGATTGTTACTAAAGGACAAATGAATATGATGTTACGAAACAAAGGATTCTAGAGTGAAATCATGAACAACTTGATGGGATAGAAATAATGAAATAAAATTATGTTCACTTGAAGGAAAGCTATCAGGAAGATTACATTCCCTCATGTAAAGTTCCATTTCCTCATGAATTGTTTTTTTATTTAATCCATGTAATATGTTCACTTTCATTGGTCATATCTAAAGGAATATGCATGGACCATACACTCCCGATTGGAAAAGCCAACAAAAAAGTTGAAATTCGTCAAGTAAAATTAAATTCCTTGGAAATGCTGGAATGTAATTTTTTGATCTCAGACCCATTTTAGTGGTTTTGAAACTATATAGCAAAAAGTGCAACATTGTAACAGAATTACAACAACAGGGAATAAACACTGCTACCATAGTGAAGGAGTTAATCTTTTTCCAACCCAGTGGCATTATACTTGCCATTTCTGTAATTACATTAATAAAATTATTTCCTCGCAAACATCACCTTATCTAAAATACAGAACTTCAAACATAAAGCATAATAACCATTGATTGTATGTTTTTGAAAAAAAGTGTTTTCAATTAATTGACAGTTTATAATGAAATAAAAACTCCCGTTTGACTTAGGCATATACCATATTGCACACACTATTACTGTAACCAGTCTACTAGGCTTCACATACTCATATTAGCACTAATACACAGGCCTAATGACCGTGCACTAGCTCATTTTGTTGAAATACATTTTGAAATAAAAAGAAAAACAAATTAACATAAACACCACAGAAGCTTCAAAGTACAAGAAACATACAGTAAACAGCATGGCGTACATTGTTGATGTAAACTGATGCTACACACTTAGCACAGATAAATGTTTCATTTAATAACCACCATATAACTTTTGTGTGATTTCCCAGATAAATCATACTTTTCTATGGAATGCCACAGATATATCAGAGTTGTTTTACTAACAAGACTGTACTTGTCATTTGAGTCTTACAGTGGGGATTCTGCCCCAGCATTACCTTCGAGATTGGATTGGTGATCATTTTGAAGCAGCTGTAAATAATTTTTAAGAGGAATAAGAGGTAACTTTTATAAATAAGATAGAGTATGATAAATACTATCTACTTATATAATTTTTAATTATATTTTTAATTATTTTTTTATGTTAATGATGTGACATCTGACTCGTAATTCAACGTTATTTTCATCACCCAGCCATGAGCCATTTGGAAAGTCCACTAGGTGCAATAAATAAACTATTGTAAGAAATTTTGGGACGAACATACATTGTGCATTTTTCAGACACAAAAATGAACTTTACATATCTTAAATTTTAAAGAACAAAGATGTGGTACTTGGTTTAATACAATATTATTTCCTATGTTATGCATAAAAATGCTCACTGGACACCCAAAGCAACTTTGATATATTCATAGGATTCCACAGAAAACAATTTATCAGTATCACAAAATTTATATAATAGTTACAAAATGAAATAGTACTGCCTTTGTTTACTCCAAAATGTTGTTATGAATTAATGCAAGTTTTCAAATCCTTCACATATGCAATCCTCCAAGGTATGTAAGAAAAAACTTAAAACTCATAAAAAATTTTCTTCAAAAGTAACTATAGTAACTTAGGAAAAGCTGCTTTTGATGTAGTAATGTCTTACTCTTGCTTCGGGATAGCAGATAAGCTGTTTTGAAGTCGTGCTATGCCACAGTCTGTTCGTTATGTGGGTAATTATTAGTTTTGACACACGTGAAATAATCGCTGTTACTGTTTACTGAAGTGTTAGTACATTGTTTGTAAGTGCAACTAAGAATTATTGGGATTAAATAAACGATTTTAATAATGACTGACAAGGCTCAAATTTCATTTTTGAGTTTGACTACCAAAAGCTGTCTGTCAAGTTGCATGTTCACTAGCAATTTAGAAAGTTGACTGACAAATTTTTTAATATTTACAAATGACTGGAACTCACTAATGCCTCATCTTTCTGTAGAGAGAATATGTAACAAAATTAAACATTTAAGTAAACAAAGGAAAGTTTCCTCAAACTTTTACTTTCACATAACTGATCATTGTTATCTATTTAGCAGGATCACTTTTTACAACAGTCTCACTGTTTCAACGAGATATTAATAAACCGAGTTTCATTTTACTCGTGTATATCTTTTCAATTTCTTTATCATCATTAAATACGTGCAGCATCCACTGCATCTACCTTGTGCTTGTTGGTGCTTTTGTTGTATGCCCTTCTGCCTTCTTTTATATCCCATCTATTACATAGGGAAGTTTTGAAGACTTATGAGCAAACCACAGAGCTGTAAGTTTTTTACAGTTTCTTTAAACATTCTTTTGTTCTTTTCGTTCATGAAAATGTTTGTATTGAACTATATCTGTTTGAGAGCACAGAAATTTTCATCATTGAGAATCCGTCAGATAAACATAGGTTTAATGAGTATGATAGGTGATGGCAAAATACTCTGATGACTCAAATCCTTACGTAATTAATATTATAGTTATTGCGTTTATTGTATTCTAACAGTGTATGTAAATAAAGTAATTGTCAACTCAATTATTTCTAATTGAAATCATGATATACTTTAAATAAAAGTTATTACTTATCACTTTATTTGATTTACATCAAAGTAATGGGGGATTATTATATATATTGTAAAAACAAAGAAAATGGTATCTGTATGGTTATCTTGAAATTGGTGATTCACCTGGAAGGAAATGTTTAGATCATCTTTAATTCTTTCACTATAGGCTAGGTCCCAGGGACTGACATTGTAACCATTTTGCGCTTGTTATAGTTTCCATACTATAAATTTTAATACAGTAAGCATATCTTCACGAAATTTTGCATTTTATCAGTAAACATTACCAGGCTTTCATATGCAAAATATCAGATTTTTTATTAATTTTTTAAGTGGTATTTTTTCTCCTCGAATGTTGACTATCCAACATGCAAAGTAATTTTGAGATTAAAAATACTTTTATGCATCAGAAAATTTCACATGCAAAATCTTTATAACCTCCAGATAATTATCAAACTTTTCTTTAGAAAAACTTTATATTTTATCTGTTATTTCCACTATAGTATCTCTGTACAGGTATGGTTGATTTGACTGACCTCGTGACCACCATAAAAAATTAGGAAATAGATATAACTTATGATTTTTTTGTTCTAGAATAATTATAAATTATAACACAAAAACACAAATAGTTAGTCTAAATAGCTTAAGTTTTATAACATTATACATCTACATATATATTTATTATTTTTATTTTATTGATCTTTCAGCCATGCCTGAGTAACATTACAGAAGTTGCAATGACACAGCACACATGCACTCATGTTACTGTATCCAAGAGTATAAAACTGGCCTTTACAAAGTGACCTATCTTGGCTGTGTTCTAGTTATAATACATTATTACTATTTATAAATAACTTCTTAAATTTCATTTGTTTTTTAAACATAGAGCAGCAAATAAAGAAGTATATGAAACAATTATCTTATCTAAGTACAAACTTTGTACTCGTTTGCTGCTTGCCATAAGTTGCTAAGCCTAATCAAATTTTACACATGGAGGATATGAAACAAAGTAATTTGTTTTAGGTTTTATATATGCATTTTGAAATAACAAAAAATCATAAATTACTATATAAATACATAATTCCACTATAATTTATCAAACTTAGTAACCATGCTGTATTTGGGTCTGAAAAATATTATTTTTCAAGCTCACTAATGTCTTACCTTACTGCTCGAAATCTAGCATGAAAAGAAAGAGTTTCCCATGCAAATACTTCACAGAGGCTGAGAAAACAAGTAGAGGGACATCATATCTCAGAAAATAGAAAATTTAGGAGATTCTTATCTAATATTCTAGCTTGTCAGTATCAGTAATTTCTGTATCTAATTCATAAAAAACTTTATTTTCGGACATCACAAACATCTAATTTGAACCAATCCTGCATTCAACATACCACGTGACACACACATTGAAATTTAGGATTTATTTTATTACTTGCTTTTACATTAAGATATTAACTAATGTATAATACTAAAATTTGATACCAAACTTACTGACATACATTCATAAAATATACACCTGGAAAAAAGTTAAGCACCCCCAAATA